TGTCGTTTCAGGCATTGACTTCAAAGGAAAATGCGTTATAAAGAGCATTAGTCGTAGGTGTAGTAGCATCATAACAGAATCGTAGAGTGATGGGAGCTGATAAACTGTTTAAAGGATGTGCATTGACAACAAGAATAATCGTAAAACCTTGATGCCTTAAAAATTAATTGTGTAGATGTGAAAACATCCAAGCAAACTATCCCTCAACGTACACATAACGCGCACGTACAAATCGCTAGTGTTGTCGGCTTCAGTCAGCGAGCCAACCAGTCTCAGGTATGTCTGCCTGGCCTTAAAACAGTGGAAGTATCCTTGCTTTTCCTCTTTTTTGGTGGCGTAGTAAATTCGGACCGATCTGGAGAGACCTCATTGTTTTGAGCAGGTGGTTGCGAGTCAATTGCCAAGTGGTGAGCTGTTTGGCGTTGAAGAGCTTCAAGTTGGGCTTGGAGGGCCGCAGTCGCGGTCTTCTGCTGGGCCAGGGCCTGATCTTTAGCCGCCAAGGCGTTGTCACAAGCTTCAATTTCCACAAAGGCATCCTCCAGTTGTTGTTCACGTTCTTGCATTTCATCAAGCATCCCCGTGACCGTTTGTCCATTGTAAATATCCTTGGCGTTTGCCATATCCATGTCGATCAAGAGTTGACCTTGGTAAACATCGGTGGTGTCTTCGATCACGTCGTCCAAAAACTCCAGAGCTTCCTCCACCTTGGTTGACTGATCGGAGGCCTGAATGGCGCGTAGTGTGTTGGTGCACCATACCAAAAACTTACGACGCGTCGCCTGGATTTCTGATTTGGGAATCCATTTGCCCAAGACTCGATCAGCATATTTCTTGCAACATACAAAGATGTAAGAGCCTTCCATTTCTCCTGGAAGGATCATCAAGAAGAGTGGACCTGCTTTATGGCAATCAATATTGTTCTGAAGTTTGCGGTCCGTGGCTTCAGCCAGTTTGCGTTGTGCCGGGGACAGATCTTTATAGAAAAAATTATTTCAGAAACGAAACAACACGCATTCCGGCAGAACCAACCAGTCTGCCTCGCGTAGCGCTAGTACTGAATTTACGTAGAAAACTTTCGAATTTATCACCAAGCCAACCATTCGA